ATAGAAATTAGTAGGTTTTATTTAAATAAATTTAAATTAGTTAATTTAGGTGAGTCAATCTAAAATACTTAATTTTATGATTAATTTTGTGTTAATGTGATTAAGATAGGTTGTTATTGATTTATTTGTGCTTTTTTAGGTTTAATGAAGGAAGAATTTTAATGAAAGAAAAAGAGTAATTTCGAAGTGCAGACTTTCACTGCATAAGTTTTGGTATTTCAATCATAACCCTTTCTACAGGACTTCAAATGAGATTATTCTTAAACCATTAGAAAGATAAGAGAAAGAGCTACAACTTTCATGTTTACTATTTTGCTTAGTTAAGCCTGAAAAATGGTCAAAGAGCTTATCAAAGTTGAAGCACTACAGTAGTCCAAGAGTAATTATGATTTTTGCTAATTAATTAGTCGAGGCTATAGCCCATGTAGTTTGATTAGGAAATCCTAATTGGAATTGACTTCTTTCTTCACCCAATTTGGTCTAACTTCAAAGCCCTATAAAATAACCTTTCGGATGACTTTTAGGAGATAACGAAACACTGGATTGAAAGCTAAGAATCAAGTTGCAAAGTCATTAAAGTTGAGAAGAATTTGAAGGATTCAAGGAGATTTTCAAATCAAGAATAAAATTCTTGGGTTTTTCTACCTTTTTGTTATTCTCTTAGTTTCTTGGTTTTGTTTTCGATGTTTAAATTTTATTTGATGATGATGTGTGACTTGATGAGGAACTTTATCTAAGATTATGATTGAACTCAATATATAGTCGAATTTATTGATTTCTCTTTTGCTTATGTTTGATGGATTTAAGTTTATTTTATTTTGTTCTTAATGCTTTTAATTACTTAATCACTAATTAGATTGAATTGGAAACCTAAGTTAAAGCTTCATGAAGAAGAATTAGGTAAACCTTGAATAGAATAACGTATGATCGAATACACTTAGTTCATTAGGTGATTTGATTTGTGTATAGGGTAGACCTACACCTATAAGCCATACTAGCCAAAATTAAAGCATGAACTTAATGAATCTGTCTTTACTTTAATTTGCATAGACATATAATAAATTAACTAGGAAATATATTTTTATGAGAAACTCCACAGAGACTTGTAAATATTTTAGAACTCTAAGTTAGCATCTTAATCTATTAAATTAAGTTAAGAGAGAAAGACAATAATCAGATGAAATATTGAGGGACATCATTATCTTAGGTCCAGTAATCATTAGAAATCAATAAAATAATTTAGCTGAGTAACTTTAGAATAGTTTTAGCTTTTAAATTTTATTTTTTAATTCAAATTTTAGTGTTTGGATAAAATGACAGTGTGTAAATTTAGTAATTAATGGTAAAAATTAATTCAATTTCCTGTGAGATTGGCACTTTACTCATCATTATATTATCTTTATAATATGTATACTTATATGGGTAGAAAATTGAACAACGAAAAATGAGGAATTGGAGGATCCCTTTCAACACGTTCTTTAAATTTATCTATTTGGCAACAAAATGGATGATCCATTGGCAAGAATTGTCAATGACAACCAAAAAAACAAGACTTCTTCATATACTGCAAGATGAAACTTTTTCCATGTTCCATACGATACAAACATGATAAATGTCTATGAGTGTTCCACCTAGACAACATACCATATTTAGGGAAGTCATTAATGGTCTATAAAAGTGTTGCCCACAAAATAAAATTTTGTTTCGTAAAGGCATCATACGTGCAACACCTTCGTCCCATAAAACTTTTAACTTATCTATCAGAGGTTGCAAGTAAACATCTATATTTTATCTAGGACATCTACTCCCTAGGATGACCACATTAAGAAAGATGCATGGTTGCTTCATGCACATCCACGGAGATAAGTTATAAATGGTGAGCATTACTAATAACTTTGTTGTATGAACTTATTTTGACACATTTTTCAGGGCTTAAGTAGTTAGATCTTTGAGATTTTAGATTCAAATTTTAACGTTTTAGATATTTTTCTAGTCTAAGTTTGATTGCATGTTATATAGTTAATTTAAATTATTTTAGTTTAACTTTATGTGATTTTATTTTAAATTACTTGAAGAGTAGTTATTGTTAATTTTTCTTATTGCTTTTGATGAAAATTTGATAAAAAAGGCTTATTTGATGAAAATTCGTGCACGTATGTTGATGACTTCATTAACATATATTGCTGTATTTTGACTATATCTCTCTATACAGAACTCCAAATGAGGTGATTCTTAGACCACTAGAATGCTAAGAGGAAGGGCTACATGTTTACCACTTTGTCCAGTTCTGACTGGACAATAGTCAAAATATTTGTCTAATTCAAAGCACTACAGTAAAATGTACGGACTAAATATGATGCTGTATTTGAAGCATATCTTTCACTCCATAAGTCCAACTGATGTGATTCTTTAGCCATTGGAAAGATAAATGATAGGGATAAAACTTTCATGTTTACCACTTCACCTAGTTCATATATGAACAAGGTGAAAATCACATTAGAAAATGCTGGACTACTACAGTTCTACACAAGGCAGCATATGGAGGAAGGTCGTGGCCTTGAGTTACTCAAGGCTACAACGTCGAGGAAGCCAAGGCTGTGGTGTTGAGGAGAACAAGGCTGCAATGCTAGTGAGAGGAAAGGCACTATACAAGCTTCCAAGGCTACAAAGCCACAATGCCAAGAGAGGAAGGCTGCGATGCTACTATAGCAAAAGGGACAGCACCGTGGCCCCAAGTAATCATGGTCGTCGTGCCAGACAAGTTTTCAAAAATAAAAATTTGATGGGACTTTGGAAATTAGGTTATTTGGAGCCTATTTAAGGGATTTTTTTCAAAGGTTTTAAAGGGGTGGCAGCAAGCAACTATTCTGAAAAAAAGCAGCCAAGAACAAAGCAAGAAAATAAGAGAATTGAGATTGCAAAGCTTCTATAATTAGTTTCTTTCTCTATTTTTATGTTTTTCTTATTTTCTTTAACTTGGATTCATGGCTAAATTTCTTTGGATATTGTTTTTATTAGATATTATGAGATAAACTATTTTTCTAGCATTGTGGTCGATTTAAACATGTAATCTGAATATTCGTTTCTTTTTTATTCATTATGAATGGGTAAAGTTTTACTTTTGATTGTCTGACCAATAATTAATTGATTTGTGAATCTAATTAAGACTCAACAGAGAGATTTTAGATTGGACTAAGATTTGAATAGTATATATTCACGTCACTTAGGTGATTTAATTTGCGATTCGTGTGAACATACGCCAATTGCCATACATAGCCAAATTAGAACACTAGCTTAAT